GAACTCAGGGTGGAAATCCCAAGAAACATAAAGACCCACAAGGGATAAGGCCTTGAATTGAGATGCAGAAGGGTTGTGTCGTAAACCGACCTGTTATCAAAGGATAACAGAGGAATGATCCTTTGTAGGATTAGGCCGAACGAATCAAGCCTTCAATCGAATACGTAGACCTGCATTGGAGTACAGGCCAGAAAAGACCAATATTACATTTGAAACAGATGGAGGACTTGCTCCATCCCGTAGTGTCTAACTCCTCTACTAACCTCTTTCTTACCTTTCTCTACTTGGTACTAGAAGTTATCGAGAACCTTGGCAGCGTCTCCCTTAAACAGGGTGGATTGCCAAATTTTCTCCTAGCAGAAAAATAATCTAACTCTCCAAATTTCAGAAAATTTGCCAGTGCTTCCCATAGGAAAAGTGCCTTTTCAGGGTTTTTATGAAGTCAAAATGACTAAGGGGCTCGTTAGACACTCCTCGGGGCATCCTCGGGGCTCGAGGGGTTTTCCTTTAGGTTGCCCGAGGAATTTCCCGCTGTCGTTGCACCTGTCCTCGGGACGATTTCCCAAGGATGCTCTGAGGAGGGGCCGCGGGGATGATCATAATAAAATACGCGGCCGCGGGGCGGGGCAGTGGGCGGCGGTCCATGATGTGATGTCCGGGTGGTCGGGCTTGGTCCACCTCCAGGCGACGGGAGATTTCAAATTTCGGCGGCGGGGTCGAAAAAAAGGAACACGCGTGTGCGGGCCTCCAGTTTCGAAATTTGAATTTCAAAAGTGGGTGGCGTGGCGTAGGAGTATCGGGTGGCGCTTGCGGCGGGCGGTGGACAACGTCATCGTGGAACCACATCCTTCAACGACGGTCGGCCTGGGCCGGCACGTGGACAACTGTTCCGCCATCAGACTTGAGACGGGAAAAGTGGAGAAGACGTCATCACGGTGCTCGTCCTCGCGTGACTTAGCGGATAATCAAGTAGCGTTCTGCGAGTTCTCACGACGTCCTTCATCGCACCATCCCCTTGGTCGTCACACGTCGCTTTTCCGTCGTGTGTTGGCGTGTCCCCGAAATCTGTTGGCCGTTGTTGAAGGCGATGTCTTATGCACCCTGTGCCTCGATGGGGAATATTGCCGACGACGACCGTTCGAAGTTGTCAACAGCCAAAAGGGCAGCGGTTGACGCAACCTTACCGTCGTGCTTCTGCGCTGCCAGATGGAACGCAGTGCAGGAAGATTGAAGGCGTAGCTTCGCGCATGGAGGAGGAAGGCGATGCAACCGCTGCCGGATGCAGGGCTGGACACCGCTGCCATCTGCGACACCGTCTTCCAGGTGTGTTGCGCCATGGGTTGTGGCGGTATGCCTAGAGCCACGCCCAGGTGGTGGGTGAAAAGGAGGATGGGGGGGGCGTGGGAGGATCTGCAGCCTGCCGACGACGCCACAGAAGAGTACTTCCACGATAAGCTACGTATTTCGCCACGTGTCTTCCGCGAGATTACGGAAAACCTGTCGCCATTTCTGCAGCGCCGTGTGACGTTCTACAGGGAGCCGTTGGAGCCAGACCACATCGTGGCGTACGCATTGTACAGATGGGCGTCCGGGGAGACGTACGAGAGCAGCACGTGCAACTTCGGCATTGGCAGAGCTACGGGTGTGGTGGCGGTGCGGGACGTCACTGCGGCGCTGCTGGCGGTGTACCGGGAGAAGGTGTCGTGGCTGACTGGGGTGCGAAAGGCGGTCGTTCTGCGTGCTTTCACCGACAAGGGGTTCCTTAACTGCCACGACTGTATCGACTGCACGCATATCTGCATCGACAAGTCGGCGAACGCACCTGGTGAAGACTACTTCGACAGGAAATGACGTTTCTCAATCATCGCGCAGATCGTTGTCGATCTCGACTTACGTGTGCTTGACGTTTTCGTTGGATATCCGGGAAGCTGTCACGATGTCAGGGTCATTCACCTCTCTAGTCTTTGGGCGCGCGCGGAGGCCGGGGAGCTGTTCACGGGGCCGCCTGTGATGCTCCCCTTCCAAGTGCAAACAAGTGGCTATCTGTTAGGCGACAATTGGTACCCGCCGTCGGAATGGATAGTCGTTCCCTATGGTGGAACCAGTCAGCATTTGTCCGAGTTGTGGTTCGACAACAAGCAGAAGACCGCGAGGGGGGCAGTGGAGAGGACTTTCGGGAGGCTGAAGGGTATGTGGAGGTTGTTCCTGCGATCGAACAAGATGAATATGGAGACGTTGCCGCAACAGTTTGTCACCGTGTGCATTTTGCACAACGTTCTCATCAATGTCTGCATCCCCTTCGACGACAATTTGCTTTGGGAGGTGGACTCCAACGGAGTTCGGCAGCGGGTGGATCTGGGGATCCAACGCCCCCCGGGTCCGCCCATGTGCATGGACAATTCAACGGGGGATGCGTTGATTCTAAGGGATGCGCTGGCGGAGCGGATGAGCGCCCATTGATGACGGTCGGCGGAAGATGTCCACGTCGCACCCGCAACACAGGTGGACGACGCGAGTTTTGAGAGCGGGAGAGTGGGCAATGGAGAGGATTCGACTTCCGAGTGTTTTGTGCTGGCTTAGCTGTGTCGTCACGTTGAGTCTCGAATGGAGGGTTCTCCGTAGATCAGTTGTCAGTTAGCAAATGATGAGTCGGTAGTTTTTCCAGTGTTCGTTATCGATGTAGACGTCAGTACTGGTGATGTTGCAGTCCTTGCCACTCGGGTTGGGGTGTTGACACGTGGTAGTCGATCTTTGGGCGCAGTTGTTTGATGCTGTTCTTACAATTTCGTCGGTGTTATTATGCAGACGCAGACATGCGTTGGGGTTTCCTTTCCCCACATGTCTTCTTTTTTTTTAACTGGGCTTCACGCCTGCTTCTGTTGAGTCCACAATACGTTCACAATGGATTTGTTGATGTACTTTTTGGGAGGTGAACAATCGTCTTCTTCGCGAGTACGTGTGTCTTTGGTGCGCCTGTGTTTGACTTTCTTCCGACGGTGTGCATGCAATCATTGTGAGTGGATGTGTGTGTGTGATGGGTGCGCCTATGTTTCGTTTCGTTCCGGCATACTGCATGTAACCATTGTGACGACAGGTTGTTAATGAATGACGACAGGTGTGCAAATCTTTCAGTCCATGCATGCAACGCACAAGAAAACGATAACAAACAACGAAAACGAAGTCATTTCAAAATCCACTCCATGCATGCAACGAAATCGAAGTGATAAACAATGAAAAACCAGAGGCTAACCAAGTAACAAGAAAAAGGTCGTCTCCGAATACAATATTGGGAAATCGACACACCAGGGATGCACCACACTGGCGGTATTGCACACCATCAATTTTACGTACAAAGGTGATCGCCGTTTCGCCAGCGATCAACTACTCCGTTCCGTAAACAAGTTATATTTGTTTGCCCAAAGACGAAGGCATCGACACCACCCACTATCTTTCCG